ATCCTCCTAAATTGATTTTATATAGTAGACAATGGAAGTCCGAACTAGTGAAATTCATCATGAAACATTGTCAATCAACTTCAAACAAACCTAATAGTTATCTTGTGAAAATAATATTTTTATATTTCAGATTTACCAAATTAGTAGATAAAGCAATATTGTGAAATTAATTTAAGACACTTAAGACGCAGGTACCTAGAAGATGTATCTATTGTATAAATAAGGATAACATTGTGAATATATTTAGTTTAATCTTCCTCGTCATCTTCATCTTGAAGACGACCACTTGGTGATCGAAACACGTGTCGAGGAGTTAAAATAACGGTTTGGTGTTGGGAAAAAACTACAGTAATACTGATATGTCTGTGATATTTTTCCAAATGAATATAGTGATAGCTCATCTTGCTAAGTTAAGAAACAGGATGTAGTTGAAGCACATATTCTAGAGATAAAAGAAAACTGAAAGTGACTTTATGCTTCTCTCTTACAAAGAGGCCATGAAAAACGATTCAAAGTCCAAGTAGAAGCAATTTTCCATATAATTTCATTAGAGCAAAATGGATCTAATAGCAATTCATTCAAATTTGCTAACTTCTATTCCTCAGGAGCCTTGGAATAGATATTCTTCGGTGATATATCCTATGGACATCCATAAGATACCCATAAATGTATGTTCTCGATAGATATCTTAAGGTCGTACAGGTTGGTATACTCTGGACATCCATAAAATATCCTAGATGGACCGATGAAGAAGGACTGAACATAAGCCCAATGAAATCAACCATACTAGCATTCACCAAAAGGACCAAAAACTACATCTGCCAGGAGAAAGTAAATATTTGCTGTGAAAAGATGAATTTGATGATGGAAAACGATAAATTGGTCAAAATATGAGGGTGCATTACCGGACAATATTTTGAAGATGAATACCATGGTAAGATAGAACAGATGGTGTTTCACAGTAAGCCAATTCAGAACTTTCAACATTGTTGTAGTTGGCGTATACCTATTACATCTTAAAATTAGGCGCATGCCTCTATTCTGTAGTTTTTGCAATGTAGACAAACAATTTGCATCAATTTTTTTTTCTTATTAGTCAGTGGGCTATGCTTGAAGACTGGCAGACGCTGAAAGTTTATTTCTTTAGATTTAATTTGCATCAAGTTGTGATAGTAAAGTAGCGCAGTAATCGAAATGTGGTTGAATGATTAATTTGAAAACTGTAATGGAAGTCTGAAACTTTTTTTAATGCATTAATTGCATCAAGAACCTCATAGCTTGTGACTCCCGTTAGGAAAAAAGAATTGCATGGCACAGGAAAATGTTTGTATTGGATGAATTCGTCTGGTATATTGATTGAATAATGGTATAATGATTTGAATAAAATTCATTCAGATAAAAAAGACAAAAGTGTGACTCATTTTAAAAAATTCGAAAAGCTCAGCCAACTGTGTCAAAACTTTTTTTGAGTGGCTTCTTTGCAAGACGACGACGGACTCCGAGCTTCCTACAGTATCTTCTTGCTAATTACTCAAACAGGTGAACCTCACACTATTGGAGAGGATTTAATTTTACCGGCAATAAAAGAAGTAATAACTGCTGTGCTCCATAAACCAGCGGCAAATATCCGAAAAATTCCTTTGAGCAATAGTTCCATGCAAAGACGAATTGATGAAATGGCTGAAAACATTGAAGAGTCATTGTGCAATCATCTGAAGATTTCTAAATTCTCAATTCAGTTAGATGAGTCCACTTTATCAACCAATGAAGCATTGTTGTTGTCATATGTGAGATTTATTAAAAATGATAAAATATATCAAGAACCACTATTTGCCAGAAATTTAGAGGAACGAGGAAATGAAAATAAAATTCAAAAAGGATACCAAAAATTTTGGCTACAAAAGCCAATCACGCAATTATATCCTGGATTGTGGTCCATCGTTCAACGATTTTTGATAGCATTCCCATCATCGTATTTGTGTGAACGTATATTTAGTGCTGTGGCAACGTTGCTAACTAAAAAGAGAAATAGGTTGCAGATTACCGAACGCGGTGACTTACGGTTGTTTTTGAGTAAATTCGAGCCTGATAATAACAAACTTGTTATTAAAAATCATCAAATTCATCCTTCACCTTAGAATAGTTTTAAAATTCAAATTGAAATGTTTGTTTTAATAACATGAATAAAAGTTTCCCTCATATTACAAAATGGTGTTTTACATTACAGAATAAAGAAAAACTTCGGTAAGTACTTAAATCTTTTAAATGACAAATTGCGAAAGTCTAGTGGCAGAGTATAGTATAGCTTAAGGCCAATATTGTCAGTCCTTTTCAGCTTTTTAGTCTATTTGCTTGCATGACAAGGTCTGATTTATTTCTAGTATCATGATGGTGTATGTCTGTACAAAACACTGGACGGCAAGTTTCATCCCATCTGGCAGAAGTTATACTTCTTACAGCGGATTTCTGCAGGATTAACATTTCAAGATGACACTTTGATGCTCTGCCCCAGGATATTATTCCATATCTTAGAACTGAGTGAAAAAGAAAATGATATGTAGTGATGGCTGGGTTCTGGTTCACGGAACCCAATCATGCAATCAAAACTGCATGGAAAGTATGTTTTAATCATGAATGTACTATTTTCTTAAGCGGAAATGTCAACCTCCAAAATTTGCGATTTTGGTCAGACATAAACCCACACAGAAAATAAATGTATGGATATGAGCATCGGGAAATCATATTGTTGGTCCCATATATCTGAAGGAAAATGTGACCCATCCATGGATTCAAGAAATTGTGGCAAAAAATCAATAAGAATTTGAAAATCCAGTTATCCACGCATGGTAGAGCAGACGCGTTCCGATGGAATGGCCTGCTCGTTCACCGCATTTAACTCCACTGGATTTTTCCTTTGGGTCTATAGCAAATCAAATAGTTATGTTAAGATTCCAAAATTTTATAAATGAGTTTGAAAATAGGCTGATTTACTGTCAGGGGGTTCAAACTGTGAGAAACTACAAAGTATTTTTGAATGCTCATGTCTGATGTCTACATTACAATTTACAATTTACAAAACATTTAGCAAAGTGTGAAATACAAAATATTATTAAATCCTTATGTCTAGTGACTATATTACTAAAAGATGAAACCATTCTTGTTCTTACAAGAAAAAAGATGTAACATGTACTTACAAAGAAAATGGTAAGGTAAGAGAAGCTTTGAAAACGCTATAGCTTTTTCAATTGATTTATAAATTCCTGAAGTGATACATTAAACAGATCTAAGTTATTATGATATTGACTTCCCAGCTTCAGAATACGAGGAATCGGACTGTTCAAAGCATAATTGTGAACGTAATTATTTGACACTTATAGCCTCTAACAAATTATTTCTACACCACATGGAAAAGGCTTCGAGATCTTTTTGAGTTAATTCAGCATCTTCCCGGCAAGTAATTGCTCGATAAAGTTTGAGATCATCAGCAAACATAAGAAATTCTGAATATTTGAAAATAAACTCTCTATGTCCGATACAAACAAGTTGAACAACAGTGGGCCCATATGGGATTCCTGCGGTACCCCTGATGGAACCTAAATGGGCGTAGATGTTGTATCTCCATATTTTACAGACATAGTTCTACCAGTTAAGAAGCTATTGATTACTTGCAAAACATTCTCGTCTATACCAAGCACTTGAGTTTTAGATATAAGTAGGCCGTTGTTGATTAAGACCAAGACTTTGAAAAAGTTAGTATAGACAGAGTCAACTTGTAGCCTCCTCTCAAGATTTTCAGTTAAGTAGTTTGTGTAAAGAGCAAGGTTGGTACAAGTGAATTTACCTTTTGAGAAACCGTGTTGTTTGGAATTGAGTAAAGACTTACAATCCCAGGAAAGTTTCTTTGTAAGCATAGAATCAAATCAAAGATGTTACTAATTCATTTATCTTTCCAATGAACAATGGCGGAGCCAATTCAAACAATAACTTCGCAACTGGTTACTGAAATTCAAAAAAGTGTATAGAGAATTGCAATACCTTTAATTTGAAAAATCACAAGACCCCCCTTTCCTTCTCGGCGGCAAAAGATGTCCCACTATTTCCTTTTTCTAACGAAAACTACTAAAAATGATTCCTTTTTACAAAAATTTTGTCCGACTCCGATATCGTGCCCTGTTGGAAAGTTGAGAGGGGGGGGACAGAAAGTTAAATTAATAGTATCTCGCCAAACATCGACAATCAAAGCTATTTTATTAGGAATATTTTTTAATACTGTATGATTTGAAGAGAATTGATTAATGTCATTACCTTAATGAACATAGGAACAATGAGTAACCAAATCCTGTCCCACTCAAGAATGCAGTCGATTGGATGATTCCATACAAGGTTTTTTTTAAATCTTCTTTAGAAGGAATCTTACCTTTCATCAACAAGGTCAACTGTAAACAAAAAAAGAATCATTAAAATAAAGTTTTTATTAACGTATTCAAAAAACGCTTCATTGTGAGATTTTCACTAAACATACTTTTTTTTTATCGAATTTGGATGTGTAAAGCATAACGAGAAATAAATATTTACTTCAGAAGGGTTCACCTCCAATGACCTTAGCTGGATGTATTAGATAATGAGCTTTTACTTTAAATTTGTTTTTTACAAGTTTACGATCCATAACAGTCTTATTTGAACGGGTAATATATAATCGAGTATGCAGAGTATACAATCACGTGGACTCAGTGATAATCGACCAACAGCATGGCTTTATACCTGTAATGAATCTACCATTACCAATTTATGCGCATTTAGGTAGTAACTTTGTTACGGATGGAATGAAAAATGGCTATCAAATAGACGTTATATACACTGACTTGGCCAAGGCATTCGACAGAGTTAACCATGAGGTTTTGATCCTGAAATCAAAAGCATTCGGTTTCACAAACAATACACTTGATTTCTTTCACTGCTCTCTATCCAACAGAATACAGTTCGTACAGTTCAACGACGTATCTTCCTTCAAATTCACCCCAACTTGGGGAGTTCCGCAGGGTTCGATTTTGGGACCTCTCCTTTTCGTGTTATTTGTTAATGACGTTTCTCGGTATATCGAGCATTCCCAATTTCTCTTATATGCCGATGATCTTAAACTTTTTAGAAGAATCGAAAGCGAAAAAGATTCTGATATGCTTCAAGATGATCTCAATAATCTATCTGTTTACTTTTCACTATCTGACCTATCTCTCAACGAAGCTAAATGCAAAATAATGAGTTTCACACGAAAGGAGTCACCTACTATCAAAGACTATTTTATTGATCACACCAATTTACAGAGAATCAATGAGGTGAAAGAACTCGGGATCATTTTTACTGGTGTGTTCAGTTTCTCTCTGCACATTGAATACTTAGTATCTGAATGTTGAAAAATGAGATTTGTCTCAAGATCTAGTCGTGAATTCAATCACGATACTTGTTTGTTACTCTTCAACTCCATTGTTCGTTCTAAGCGGAATATGGTTGTGTCATTTGGAATCCAAAGACCTCTTTATGTTCTGAAACTATAGAAAAAATCCAGAAACGATTATTAAGAACAATCTATTTCAGAAACACAATGTCTGGCCTTTATTTATATCGCAGTCTAGCCAATTACAAGAATTTGATGTGCAACTATTGAGTCTTCGGAAGTGATTTTTGTTTTTAACATTTTTAGAAAACTGAAAGTACCTGAAATTCTCTATACTATAGATTTTATTGTACCTGACGTAAAACTGAGAAGAAGAGACAATCTATATCGTGTCTCAAACAATTTGTCTCCTCTTCAACAATGTCTCGAAACCGTTAACAAAATGGCGAGGAAATGTGAACTGGATATATTCAGTATTACAGAGGGAGAACTCGTTCGAATTTCTGAATTTCTTTTTTATGATACTTTTATTATTTATTGTTTTATGTGTTAGGAATCACACGTTTAAATGTAAGACCTCGTTAATCCTTAGCTCGCACAAGTTTCGACTTCTGGGGGTTGTCGTTCGTCGACTAAAACATGAAAAAGTGTCATTCCATCAACTAATACAGATAATATACTGGAAAGCAAAAACATGTATGAATATAAGGTAAAGATGAAGGAACAATATTAAACGTCAGAATATAAAATTCTGTATTGATAATGGGGGAACAGATGATGAAACCAATTAATAAAATTTTTTCATCCATCATCAATCGAGTCATTAATATCAATTTGAATTATTTCATTACCCAATAATAGTGATGTTTATTTCCATTAATTTTCAACATATCTACCTTTACTCCGTAGTTTTTCTTATTTTTTATCATTAATCGATAAATGAATAATATCACGTTTTAAATCGTTGGCTGCTCATGTTTTCAAGGACAATAGTTAGAAGATATACATGATGGGCCATTTACCGTTAAGTTAACTGCTAGGGAAAGATTTTTTTTGCAAAAACCCAAACACACATCAAGTTTATTATTTACAAGGGAGACAAGTTTTGACTCAAAAACTACTCCAACATTTAAACTATCTAAGCGGGGTATCATTGCTCAAGTTTTAAAAGAGATCAGGTGATCAAGTGATATCTCTTCGAAAAGAACTTTTGATTTCTTATCGATTGCTGATTTGCTTTTGAAAATCGCCCCACTCATGAGATACGGAGCTTTGAAATGCCAACTATACCTAAAAATTCAAAAATTAAGTGGATATTACCTGAAACATCACCGTATTGATAGAGTTAATACACACATCGGAAAAGTCTAGGGATATTTTTTAAAATGGCAATAATTTTTTTTAGATCGCTTTAGGGAAAAAAAGTTGACGGGTGATTATTAGACGAATGTAACTTACAACAAAATTTATTAAATGGTCAAAAATACTGAGTGCGCATATAAGCAAAACTAAAAAAAAA